GAGAATGGCTTATAAATAACACTCGGGTGCGGCAATTATTATTCATTGCTAGTTATGGCTTTCACACACTGGAAAAACAAATGGTTTTTCCACTAGGAGCTGGAGCTGCAGTCCGTTTAATCACTAAAGAGCTTGGAATCACTTTAGTTTAAAATAACTTTCCGCTGTGGTTTGGAAATTTTAAAAAAACATATTTGGGTCATGTTAACCTAGTGTATACAACTTGCACTGAGAATTTCAGTTTACCTCATCTACATCTGCTGAGCCCCATAAATATCCATCTATTCTTTTCCATTTGGTTTCACAGAACTCCTGCCTGCCTGAAGACAGAGCTCCCCAAACACAGATTTGGAGTGGGGTTAGTCTGGCTAGAGGTGGAGAATCCTGGGAGCTGAGCACAGAGTACAAGAGCAGTGAGCAGCCAAGCTGCTGTCAGCCACAGCCACTCCTCTCTGGCTGTGATGCAAGGGGATGTGGCTGGTGCCTTCAGGAAGCTGCGTGGATGGACTTTCCATCACGTGGCTCCTAACAGAGGCTGCCCAAAATATCAGCCTCAGGTACTAGGAGGTTACTTAAGGTTTTGACAGTTAGGTGTGGTTGTGAGTTCTTTATGTACATGTTCCAGCTACATCCCACCAGCGGTCCATGCTCATGGCATGGATGTGGTGCAAGTTTCCCTCTACTGAGCCATTCCTTGCCCTGCTTCAGAATTATCACAAAGACAGAGAAGAGCCTGTGGAGGAGACACAAGAACCACAGTGCCATGAAGGAGTGTTCCCCACGTTACCTGTGTGTTACTGGCCATCACCCTCTCACCCAGCAGTGCCAGTGCAGCATCCTCAGCGTTGGGTCCTGCAGGTGGCTGCAGCTCTGTGGTGCTTTCCACCCCTGCAGAACTGTGCCAACACTCCGGGGAGGGCGGGTGACTGCCACGCCTGGGAAGGAAGAGCTCATTTTTTCCGAATGGCACAACTTAGCAAATGACAACTGTGACTTCAGTCTGGGCTGCAGTGTGAAATCCGAGGGATGGCTGTGAGCAGCAACTGCCAGAGGGAGCAGAGCTGAGCACTCAGGTTCCCAGCTAGTGTGGTAGGTGTGGAGGAGTCCTCCTCTCTCTTGCAAGTATTGATGCTACAGTTATGAGAAGGGAAGGGGCTTTGCCTGGGTTTTGCTTGGTTATGGGGTTAAAATTTCCATCTGGACATCTGTTTCCAGCCTCCAGGTATTTCAATATTACCAGCCTAAATGTTTGCTTTATCTGAAGTGATTTGCTGAAGGACACAAAGCGAGGGGTCTTTGCAGCTGGCCTCATGGTAGGTTGGAGCTGCAGGACAGGCTAGTGGTTTCTCTTGATGGTTGGCACGAGGATATCTGGGTTAAAGATGTCCTGTTCAAAGGCTTTCTGATCTTGCAGTACTGGAAGAGTTTGCACAACTTCTTTTGGTCAAGTAGGTTTAGAAATCAAAGAATTCACCATCTTGGTTAAAGATGCTTCTGTTGAGGTGTTAATACTGTTGTCCCGATAGCAAAGTCTCCTGCACTGGGATCCCTGCTAAAGGCTTGATCCTTTGTAGCTGTTTGAGAGCCCAGGAATTTTTATTTTATTTTTTGTGGATCCATCCTCCTCCCAGCCTGCAGGGTTTGTCAGCTCCAAAGAGGAGACTTCTGCCCAGATGACAAAATTGTAAGTCCCACCAATGTGAAACTCACAAAGTCCTGGAAAACAATTCCAGGATCTGTTTTAATTTAAATCAGAGGTGCAATGTCCTGTGGCAGTAAAACAAGGAAGGTTCTTGCCCCCATTTAGGTTTTGTCCCCATTTAATGGGTTGGATGGCTGGGATTAGAAAGAGATGAGCTCATCATGCCCTGTGTGCCCGTGAACATTCATGGCACCTTTCTGTGCTTTTTCTGGGGCAGTTATGAACACTCAGCTCCTTTTACAACCTCGATCAAAGAGCCATCCACTGGGAAGCTTCTGTGGTAAAAGTAGGAGAGGGTGTTCTGGGGCAGGGGAAAGGTGAAGATCTTGGGACAAAGCTAGACTCTGGAGGGGCATAATGAGTCTGTAGTTACAAAGATGGTATTTAATTATTTATTTTCCATGGTTTTCAAGCCTTGGCACTGTCACTTTGCTGGCAGCAAATCAAACACCAAGTTAGCTTATGTTAAGAACAGAAGATGAAGTCCTAGATAAGCACCGGGCTGTAGGAATATCTTAAATTGAATGCACAGGGAGGACACAGAGGAGAGTATGTCTTTGCTCTCAGTGCTATCCAGACCCTATGTCAGTGATCAGGGCTGTGTTTCTCTCTATTGAAGTGTTGATATCACAGCTCCTAGGATGCTTCTTTCTTCTAGGATGTAAGATGAGCAGAGAGGAGGGCACAGTGACAGCTGTACTTTTCCAGGGCTACCTGCAGCTTTTTGGTGATAGCACCAGTGTTCTTTGTGGAGCAGGAGTGTGTGCTTCGATGGACTATGAAGTAACCACACCAAAACCTGTCTTTGAGCCACCACTCTTCTCTGGGACTGTGATACCCATCACTGCTGAGCTCGTGTGCTCAGCAGCCATGGTGCTGGGGTGCAGACTTGGCTGCAATGTGGTAGCTGCAGTCTGACCTCACGTTAAATATCCACAAATAATGCCTCTGTTCCTGCCAGCTCATCTCTCTTCCACCCCTCCATGTTTAATTTCTGACTCAACTTTTGATAAATGTTTTGTAGAGTTCCTAGTTTGTCCTACAGACCTGCTGTCACCACAGCTAAAATCTAAACCAACACTTGACTTGGGGCTCAAGTGCCAGATAAACTTGGCAGTCATTGACATAATGGATGGTCCTGTTGGATGTGCAGACCAGATCTGAATTGTGAAGACCAGCTCTTGCAGCAGATGGGAGAGCACAGCTTTTGGGATGCCTGAGAATATCCTGAGGAATATCTGGACAAATACTCTGTCGTGAGAGGCCGGATCAGACCACAGTTGATATATTTTCAGACTTATACCTGTCTGAAACAGATAATTTGGTTAAATGAGTTCCTCCAGCTTTACACCAGTTAGCCCCAAGTGGGGTCTGGCCCACAGTCGTGTTAAAGTAAGCATTTCAAGGCAGTGTTTATGGCCAGTAATTTGTCCTAGAGTGTTTTTATATGTGTGTGCAGGCATACATATGAGGATATACGTACATACTTGCTCAGGAACGCGGTTTCCAGTCCCTTTAACTTGTTCAAAAAGTAAACTAGGGAGAAACTGGCAGTGAGTCGGAGCCGCCTGCCAAGCATTGCAAACCAGAGAAGTGGTAAAACATAAACACTTTGGAGTTTATCCTCTGGATTTATATAGTTTGGCTGCCAGGGGACGGGCTTGTGTGGAGGGGGAGGCTCGTCAGCCCCTGCCCGCGCTGCTGCCGCGGCGCCGAGCCCAGCACCTCCACAGCCACGCTGCTCCTGCTCCCGTGAGCAGGGAGGGGAGTGCAGGGCTCTGCATCCCTCCCTCCTGCTCTGCTGGCCACATGGGGTGGCTTTTGGGCGATGGCAGCAGAACAGGTCTGCTTTTCCCCCCTCCCCGGCACTAAAGTAAAAGCAGACCTCCTTGACGCTTAATCAGATTTGAATGTGGTTTTTGGCGTGGCTTTAAAGAGACTGGCAGTGAATAGCTGGTTTTGATGCCATTTATTAAAAACCTCTGGTAGAATTTGTCTCCGAAAGCCTTTGTAAGAGCTGGCAAACGCACAAGGGTTTGATGCAGTTAATGTATTTTAATCTTCACCCCCCCACCCCTTTTCCTTTCTGTCGCTAATTGTAGGGCTCTCAGCTGTCTGCTGCCTTCTCCGAGGGGATGGCAGGCTCTGCAGGGACCTGTACATACACAGGCTTAATAAGGTTGCAGTGGCATGGAGAAAAGTGAGCATCCTCCTCAGGGAGGATGGCTGGGATGGGCACTGTGAGGTGCCAGGTCCCACACCATGTTCTTCTGACAGGGGGACACCAGATTGCCCTGGCTGTGTTAATTAACCTCCTGGTGCAGCCTCACTCTCTTGGAGCAACAAGGCAGATGAGTGTGAGAAACAAAGATATCCCTTTTCCAGGTGGCTGAGCAAGTGCAGAGTGTTGGTGTTGCACCCACTGAGCAGCTGGGTCATGAGGAGGACTCCCTGATGCTCCCATTCAAAGTGAGGTTGATAGGCATCCATCAGTCAGTGTTACCTCACTGACTTAGTCCCTCACCTGCTTGGTATATCCACGTTTCTTTTGACCCATGGGACTTTCTGAACCCATTTCATGTTCCTCACGTGTCTGGTGCTTCTGGGAGCTTTTTTCACGTTTTATGTCTGAAGGCGCTGCACCCCCTTTCTGCACGGTGGGAACTGTCAGGAGCACCAGAACATTGGTGTGAATGATTTGTGGAACTCAGGGAGCGGTTTTCCCCCAGCTGTGGTTTGGGCTGTGCATAGCTCCTGTCCCTGCTCTTTGTTTCCACTGTGTGGAAGAGCTCAGAGCTGTGACCATGCCCTGGAGCACTCTACCTGGTTGAGAGACCAAAGCTGGAATTGCTTTGCATTTAGTTTGTGGATTTTTTTGTCTGCCTCATCAAAGAAAAGCAAACGTGGTCTTTTTCTACCAGCCCTCACTCATGTGAGTTGCAAATTCAGCAAGAGGGAGGCGTGGATGGAAATGACTCCCAGGAGAGAAACAGTCTGAGATACTTAAACAAATGGGAACCGCGCAGCTTTGCTCTTCCCCTGAGGGTTTGGCTGTTAAATAAACTCGCCGATGAGTCTGGCTGTGTGTGTGTGTTGGTGCAGAAGTGTGTTTGTATACACGGGCTGGGTGTTGCTGGGTGTAAGCCACGGGGATGGGCTGTGCTGGGTGCTGCACTCCTCGGTATATGAGAGAGAGACACAAGCAGTCTCGGCTTTCCTTCCTGCCAGAGCTGGCATGGGTGGTTGTGGTCAGAGAGAAGCTAACCTGACCTTTCCCTCTTCTCCTTTCCCTCTCCAGGGTTCCACCTCAGTGGAACAGTAACGGAGCCAGCGACTGCTACAGAACCAGAGATGACCTACAAGGTGGCCATCAGCTTCGACCGCTGCAAAATCACCTCCGTGACATGCGGCTGTGGGAACAAGGACATTTTTTACTGCGCTCACGTCGTGGCGCTTTCACTGTACAGGATCCGCAAGCCAGACCAGGTCAAACTCCGTCTTCCCATCTCAGAGACCCTTTTCCAGATGAACAGGGACCAGCTCCAGAAGTTTGTTCAGTATTTGATCACAGCACACCACACTGAGGTGCTGCCCACCGCCCAAAAGTTGGCTGATGAGATCCTGTCATCCAACTCTGAGATCAACCAAGTGCACGGTAATTCCTCCCTCCTCACTGTGTGACCCTGGCTCTGTGCTTGGGGCTGGGGTGGTGGTTTTGGTGCCCTTTATTTTACATTTGTCTTTGGATGCACAGAAAAGAGCTGTCAGTGTCACACTGATGTTAATGCATGGGTGTTGGGACCACATGGCTGGGGTGTCCCCAGCCTGCCCTCTCCTCTCCTTTATGTGTTTATCTGTCAAACATGGGCTTCAACAGGCAGGAAGAGGCAAAGCTGACAGGCTGGTGGTGCACAAGGCACAGCTCAGTGTAGAATGGAGAAGCCGAGGAGGTGGTGCTGGGACCCTGTGGAGAGGGAGCAGCAGTGGGGATGTGGCACCTCCAGCACGTGGGGACACAGTGTCAGCCCTGCACTAAGTCAGACGTGGCTGAGCTGGTAGGAGATAAAGCTTTAATCTCCATGGGCGTTAATTTGCCCATAATAAATGAGCGCCGCTGTTCTTACCTACTGCACAAAGGCAGTGGAGATGTGTCCTGGGGCTTTGTGTTTGGAAAATGCTTTTGACTTCCTCCCCTGAAAATCTGGGGGATAGTGCCCAGCCCAGCCCTGCTCCACTGGCCCAAGATGTGGCCCAGGCTCCTGGGGATCTCCCACAGTGTCTTTTCAAGGAGGCCAGGAGCTGAAGTTGCCCAGGGTCTGCAACAATGAGCAGCTCCCCGCTGTGGCAGTCCCACCAGCTGTAGAGCAGAGATAATAAACACTTATCTGCCACGGAAGGGCGTTGCAGGGATTAACACGTGCCTGTTAAGTGTTCTGAAGATGAAAAGCCCCATATGCAGCCTAAAATACCATCTGAACTAGTTGAATCCACATGTAGAGAAGCAAGGCCGGAGGTTCACCGTCACCATGGGGGTGATGGCAGCTCTGATCTTAGATGTGTTCATCTCTGTCAATCTGGTAGTTCCTGTTCCTACCTTGGGAGAGGCCTTTGTCTCCTCTGCTGGGCCACATGTGCTGCATGGGTGGTTGTGCTCTAACTAACTGGCTTTTGCAGGGGGGCCTTCAATTTTTGGCATTGTGAAAGAATGAGGAGCTGTGATGCTGCAAGGATCTGGTGAGGGCCATTCCCTCTCTGAACTGATCTGCTGAAGCTGAGGCTGGGCAAGATCCCTTCTTGGCCATTGTTTGAGGCTGCTTTCTCCTAAGCAGATTGAAGTAAAGCTTTTAAGGCTCTGAATATTTATTGTTCTAGAGTCAGCAAAAGGCTGGTGGTTGGGAGTCTTACAATGATACAGATGTTGGCTCCAGTTCAATATCTGCGTCTTGTTTTTACAAGTGGTTAAAAAAAAAAAAAAAAACAAAGCAAAAATTCTCACTCTCTTCAAACTTGGTGCAAATTTACACACTCCAGTGTGTGATTTTAAACCAACAGAGATGTGGTCACCCCACAGAGGGTGGCACCTACCTGACGCCCCTGTGGCTGCGCGGCTGGTCACAAGTGAGTAAACACCTCTGCAAGCAGGAGAGCAGCCTTGTCTCACCCTGGGGAAGGATGCAGGTCAGCCTTCATATGTTGACACGCTCTTAAGGTGATCCATAGCTCATAAATGATGCTTCCTGTGAAAAGAATGGCTCCAAACCTCTCACATTCAAGTTCATGGTGATGCTGTCCAGGGCTTCGATTCTTGATCCCAGACAATGTTGCAAGTTTTGCCCTCTTGTTCCTGCCAGAAGAACAGCCACAGTGCAACCAACTACATACACTGCAGACCTGCTTGACCCCAGGGTGAGGAAGGGCTGCAGTTGTGAGGGTCTGTTTGTGGGAGAGGAATTCTGGGGTCTGCAGGTGAAGTGAATCCAAATTTGTCCACCGTCTTGCCCTTCCCAGATGTCAGTCATGCATTTGGAGTGGGTCACCGATCCTGGGATCTGTTAATTCTTTAAGCTATGCTCTACATAGAGCTTTATGTGTATTTCTTGACCCTTGGGGTCACACCCCAGCCTTGGGGTTGGGGCCAAAGTGTCTTTTGGCAGGCCAGCCTCTGCAACCCAAACAGAAACCCACTGTGTGCATCAAACACCTGAAGTTATTACACCCTGGAGCAAGAATGTTCTTTCTGGAAATCCTTCTTTTTTCCCTGCCCCTCCTTCTTCTGAGAGTAGGTCCGTTGAGCTTTGTATCAGCATCAGGTCTTCCTCACCTGCCTCTGGTCAATCTTTCCTTGTTTCTATGGCGAGCTTGTAGGATTGAGGAGCTGTTTTTGCACCAGGCTGGCTGTGGAATGCCCCTTGTGCAAGGGGGTTGTCTGGTTTTGTAAAATAAGGCTGTCAGGGATGCTTCTTCTCCTCCTGCAGAGCCTGAATGGCAGAGAAAATTACTGTCCATTGTCTGTTGCGCTCAGCTCCGGGCACTGGAGCTTTGTTCCTTGCAGGAGTCTGTAGCCGCAGGCTGTGCACCGCGTGCCGATCTTCCCGGCTGCTTTCCTAGAAGGAAATGCAAACTATCCAGTAATGATGGAGGCTTGGAGTGCAGCCAAGGCGCTTGCGTGTTCCCGGAGGATTCAGGCCAAGCAGAGCCTAGGTGTGCCTGCAGTTCTGCTCCCCACTTGACCTCTGCCTGCTGAAGTGGGTCACGTTTCTGCTCCTGTGCCTCGGCTGCGAAGGGCAGCGTGTGCCAGCGAGAGCATCTCCCGTGTCTGGCACCTCCGCGCTTGGCGTCTGGAGTGGCAGCTGGAGGGAGGAGACCAGGGTAGGTTTCAATGCTCCTCCCCAAGGGGACAAAGCCGGCAGCGTGGCTGCCTGGCACAGAGCAAGGCTGCAAGGATTGCACTGTGCCAGCAAAAGTGACTCGTGGCTGCTTGGTCTCTCCTGGTGGGTGGAATGCTGGGGGCAGCCAGAAGCTGCAGCTGGAAAGCTTGGATCCAACAGCTGGGACTCCATGGGAATGAGGATCATCTGGTGGTGGCCACCTTGGCACCCTGTTCCGTCTGCTCTTCTGAGAGCTTAAAGATGGCACGGTGCCTGTGGGCCCAGATTTGGGGCTTTGAGGTACCCTTCATGCACCACTGATGAATTCTCCCCCTTCCTTGCATAAGGAGCAGGAGATTTTGGCACACCCCATGTTTGCAGCTCTGTAACTCACCCAGCTTGAGCAGCATGTGGACATGGCAGAGGGTGCTGCTGCCCTGGACTCCAGCAGTCCAGGAGTTGTGGCTGGGGTGGTCTGTCTGGCCCATGGAAATGCCAGTGGATGATGCTGTATCTGTGGTGCTCAGCTGGTACCATCAAAGGGCTTGGGATGCTCTTCACAACCAGAAGGGAGAAAAGCCACAAAACCTCTGCTGTTCCACGGTGCAGGCGCAACTCCCTCTGAGGACAAGCCATGTGAATCACCAAGGGGCCTCCGTGGTCCTGCAGGGTCTTGGGAGCTTCCTTGGAGGAGAGGACTTTTGGAAAACCATGAACGGGAATGGTCCCTCAGGCTTTGGCATGGGAAAAGCAGATCTCCTCATGAAAGAGTGATAAGAAGCCTGCTGCCTCATCCATTCCCTTTTATCCTGCATGCATTCTTGACCACCTTAAGCTTTCCTTCAGCTCCTGGGCTAATACTGTCCCACCTTGCTCCTTGTGCACAGCGAGTTGGCTTCCAGGTCAGTGTGCAGGAAGTCCCTGCCTGTCCTGTCACACCGAGCCAAGGCTGATGTTTGAGGAGTCCTTGGGCACTCTTTGACTTTCAGGTCATCTCGAGACAGCGTCTGGAGGGCAGCACCAGTAAATCTATTTGAAATTCTGCCTTCCCGCAGGGGAGGAGGAGAAGGTCAGATCTCCAGGATATTCATGTTCCTGTTTGCTGAGCTGTGGTGGATTTAAGGGAAAAAGCACACCTGAGTGCTGGAGAGAAAGGCAGCTCTTCTCCCTGTCTTGCAGAGCAGCTGGGGTTGCCAAATGACTCCAGAGCACGAGTAGTTCTTGACAAGCAGCTTCCAAAGTTGGCTGTACCAGGTACTGGTACCAGCTGGACCACATTGCTCCTGTCCACCATGCTGGGAGCCAGTCTGGATTCCCTTGTCGTGGTGCTGTCAGGTGTATGTGAATCTTCAGGCTGCCCTGGCAGCTCCCTCTGACTTGCCTCCTCTTGAAAACAAACTGGGAGTCTTGGCAGAGCTGGATTCCTTGCTTTGCTGCTATTTTTAATCCCTTGTTAGAGTTCATTTCCTTTCTGGTGCCTGGTTATTTTCTCTTCAAGGTTTTCTGCCGTTTGCTTATTTGTCCATGTCCTCCCCACCCCCTGCCCTGAGCTGATCCTTCACATCTGTTTTCTCTCTGGACGCCAGAGAGGAGCCTGGAGGCATTCAGCAACACCACCATGTGCAGTCATGAGATGGCCCTTGTGAATGGCCACCACCACAGCCAGCCCTGCTCCAGGCACCACTGACCCCGGGGCTGGCACGGCCAGGCCCTAGAGCACTGCTGGGTGCTGGGCACAGTTGGGTGAAATGACCATAAAGGAGATGCTGGAGCAGCCACCCTTATCACTGGGTGGCTTTTAGCATCACTTTATCAGCTCCAGGTACCGGTTAAAAATTATAATCGTGCCTTTTTCTTTGTATCACCAATCCTGCTTCAAGTCAGATGTTCTGGGAGTGCTTTCCACATTAGTGAGCTGATGTATCCCCCGTTCTTGGGTTCAGGAGCTTGGGTTTGGGATGTGACAGTGCTTTGGCGTGACCCACAAGGTCCTACTGCCTTCTCAGCCCTGGAAACCTGCAGCTTCCCAGTCCAGGAGCCCCTTTTGTTTTTTTTCGTGTTGGGCAGCTAATTTCTGAGCAAGGAGTTGAATTTTCCATGCCTGACTTGACTCTGTTTTCTAATTTGTAGATTTTTCCAGTCCTTTTTCCTCAGTCATTGTATTTGCCAAGTCTCACTTGGCTGTCAAACAGTTAAACCCCCGAGCTCCCAGTGAGGGGGGAGCCCAGCTCGGGGTGTGATGGATTGCATTTTTATCTCAGTTTCTACAGCCAGTGTAAACGGGCTGGTGAAACACTCTTTCCACTCAAGATGTGCAATGGTGTTTCCTTAAATCTGAATCCGGCAGGACCAAGATCCAGCACATCTGAAACAGGGCTCTTTGGAGCACGAATGCTGCTATATGAGAAATGTGTTATGCAGGCGCCGGGCTGTTTTACATGCCGTTCCCAGCTCCTTTGGAGCCGAGACATGGAATCACTCATCAGCTGCGTCACGGCGTGCCGCTGCCGAAGCCCCCACGGTGTGAACGTTGGCAAGGGGAAGTGGACAAATCCTGCCATTAATATTTAAACCCAGCACAAATCCCGTTGTTTGCTCTTAAATGTTTATCCAGCTCCCCAGCGTAATTGGGCAGCCCGTTATCTGCCGGGTTGTGCTGCACGTGTGGGAATTCGCTATTACAGCCCTCCCTCTGAATCTTTTATAGGAGAGAAAAATACATTTACAAGCAAATTCGGGCTTTATTTGGAGGCGCGGGAGGCGCGTTGCTAATTTGGCTGCGGCCCGAACCCCAACGTGCGAAGTGCTCAATGTGTTGCGTGGGAGGAGGAGGTTTTATTTAGCTGCACGCTCCCTTCCTCGCTGCTCGGGCTTTCCGTTGCTAACGCTACGTGTGAGCAGCAGGCACGGCGGGGTAGCCCCGGGAACCCCCAAAGAACGCACCTACTTTTTACATTTTGTGACCTCCTCCTCCTTAATCTGTCACAGCGGCCACGGCCGTGGTGAGGGATGAGCTGAGCTTTGGTGGGGTGGGTCAGCCCAGGTGACCGTGCTCTCCTGTCCCTGCAGACAGACAGGTGACCCTGCAGAGGCAGTGGAGGCTGCTCTGGATGGCTACAGCAGGCAGGATGGTGGGGAGGAGGATATTAAGAGTGCAAGCGTCTGGGATACCTAGTGATGGGGCCGGATAAGCGCTCATGGTAGACAGATTAGTCATCGGTTCCTGATAGGGGATAATCACCGGCTTGTCTGCTCTTTATCTGCGAGATAAGGATGAGGCTGGGGGAGGGAAGGAAAAGGCACAGAAAAGCTCAGGGGGCCGGCATGGACTGTCCCTGGCTGTGATTGTCCCTCGTGGCTTAGGACAGCACTCTGAGCTGACTCTCCTGGTACACTGAGCAGGACTCGCCCTTACTGGGAGCTCAGGGTTTAACTGCTTCTTCAGGGGAGTGGGATCAGGATCAGGGCATATGTGGCAAAGGGCCTCATGCTCATCCAGGAACTGTGATTTCCTTTCTGCTGCTCCAGCTCTCGTCCCAATTATGTGGTTGTGTCAACTATAAATTATTCTGCAGAGGGAGCAGCAGCATCCTGTCGCTTTAGCATGCCTGGAGCTTGCTGGAACTTCTCTCAGGCAGTGACTGTTAGCAGAAATTAAAGTAATTTTGTAAAGGACATTAAATACAAATAACTGTATCTTAGCGGGTCAGGAGTGTCCTCAGCCTGCTGGAGGAGCAGAACCCCTGAGGTTGATGTTGTCTTGCTTACAAGCCAGGAAGAGACACTTGCCCTGCTGAGCAGGTATCCTGGAGCACAATTTTCATTAATTGTATTTGAGCTCCTGGTTCAGCAATGCACAAGGCTGGGGTGTGCACAGCATCCCAGGCTGTCTCTGTAGGAAAGCGATGTCTGCTCTCCAACCAGACCCCAGTTTTGGAAAAGACATCATGAAGATTTAATTGGGAATGTGTCAGCATGATGAACTACAGCATCCCATGGCTCCTCATGCAGCACCTTGCTCTTCCTGTGCTGACCCTCTTCCTCTCTTGAGAGGGAGATAGGAGAAGCAGACCAAAGTGGAGTGGAACATCCTCCAGCTGCAGCAGTCCCTCCTTGGTACTGGTTTTACCTAAGGAGTTTCTGTAGAGTAGGACTCAAAAGCAGACAGCTGAAAATTCAACTTTCTGTTCTATTTTGTGCTCTTGGCTGCTCACCGGAGTTGTGCTACTGCCTGTCCTGTGAGCCCTGGAACCCATGGCTGGGATGTAGGATAGTGTTTGGGCAGGAAAATGGGAATTGAAAAGGGCAAGGTGAGGGAAGTTTGATCCAACTTGTTTAAATCAATTGTGGGTTTTCTTTCTTTCGTTCTCTGGAAGATGAAATGCAGCGTGTGAACGCATATGTGTGCCTGCCAAAGGCCCTGCTCTGGTCACAGTTTGCTCTTTAAAGGGTTATTGATCCTGTGTTCTTTCCCACGGAGGGTCTCTCTCAGGCAGGTACACTGATGCCCGGGGACTTGTTCCCTGTCCTAAAGCAAGTGAGGGACAGGACCAGGTGTTTAACCCAGGGCTCTGGAGCCCAAGTGCAGTAGTACCTTTGTTAGACTGTTCCAGACACGGGGAAGGGCTTGCAGGAATTGGAGCTTTACTGATGCTTTAACAAACCGGACCATGTGGAGCAGGAGCACTGGGCACTCCCTTGAGCCACAGAGAGCTGCGGGCTCTGCAGCTGTGCTGCCTGCACTCCTGGGGCTTGGGAGGAAGGCAGGTCCCTGGTCTTCCTCAGCCTCATTTCACGTGGAGCGCAGAGGGTGAGGGGCCATACAAGCATTAGCCCTGTGGTCAGGATATCCTTCCTGATGGCTGCTGCCAGTACTGTGTTAGGACAGCACAATGCTGCCACTTGGGCTCCATGCTGAGGAATCAGGTTGGTTTTCTTCACCTGAGCTGATAAAGTAAAGGTGGGTTCCTAATAAAACAGAGGTAGGTGCACTCCTTGCCAGTGGCACTGCTGACCCTGCTGCCATAAACATGGTTGTCTCTCTTGTTTCTCCCCCGCCATCCTCTCAGGCGCTCCTGACCCCACTGCTGGGGCCAGCATCGATGACGAGAACTGCTGGCACTTGGACGAGGAGCAGGTCCGAGAGCAGGTGAAGCTGTTCCTATCTCAGGGAGGGTACTACGGCTCGGGGAAGCAGCTCAACTCCATGTTTGCCAAGGTGAGGAGCCGGCTGCTCTCTCCCATCTCTGCTCAGCGTGTCACGTAGCTGGCACTCGCTGGCTGCCCTGGCAGGGTGCCCATCACAGCTGGGAATCTCTGCTCCAGTGCCTTCTTGCCCTGTCACAGAGCAGGCACTTGTAATCCAGGCTCTGGGTCAGGCCTGGATTGTCTCACCTGCTGTCCTGGCAGGTCCTTTCCTCCCATGGATACCATGATCCCTGTGCAAGGAAGGGCATTCCCCCATCCCTTCAGCGCAGTGGGGAAAAAGCCAACCCTGCAAAGCCTACCAAGACCATGGGAAGGTGGAACCATAACCCACAGATCTCACCACCCTGCTTTGCAGAAGGGCTTTGCTTTCATGTTCTTAATCTCAGTCTCCTTCACAGCCTGGCTGTGGCTGCTACTCAACCAGGCTCCAGTCAGCCTCATCACAGCCGTTGCATGAGGGTTATAATGTGTGACTGTCCATTATACACACACACACACACACATATATATATATATGTATGCATTTACATACAGTCTGAACCCTCAGGCTGAGGAAGCTGTGGGTTGCCAGCCAGGTGAATGTGTCTTAAGCACCTTTGAGGGGCCATGGTTTGTCTCACCCAAGGCTTTCTCTTTGTCCTTCCCAGGTCCGGGAGATGCTGCGCATGAGGGACTCCAACGGGGCCAGGATGCTGACGTTGATTACAGAGCAGTTCATGGCTGATCCTCGGCTCTCCCTCTGGAGGCAGCAGGGGACAGGCATAACAGAGAAGTGCCGGCAGCTCTGGGATGAGCTGGGTAAGGGTCACTGCCTTGCAGACAGGAGCAGAGTTACCTGACCTCTGGGCCAATGGGCATCATTACAGAGGCCCTGTGGGGCTGTGTTTTGGGAACGGAGACCTTGAGACATGCCAGGACCTTACTGCATCCCTTGCTGGGGAATCACTGTGATAGCTGGATCAGGCCCAAACCACACAGTGCAAAACCTTAAACCTGCCCCTCTCCTGCAAAAGGACCAAGGATGATGGGTGTGCAGTGTGTTGCTGGTCCTGTGCTTCCAGCAGGCTGGTATTTGGTGAGCTGCCCCAAAGCCTTTGTGAGGGAGGACACAGGGTGGGTGAGCCCCAGGGGCTGGATGTAGCCTGGATGTGGAAGCTCTGTTCCTGGGGGAACCTTGATCCAGAGAGGGGAAGGCGGGTTCTCAAGTCTCATCACATCTAACAGATTCTGCCTGCTGTGGTGCACGTTTCCAGGGTGAGGGGGGCAGGATGGGCAGCACAGAGCCTGGCTGTGAGGGAAATGCAGTTCTGGGTAATTCTAGCTAAGCACCTTAGACACCAGCTCAGCTGGCTGACACTGTAATATCATTAGAATAAAACATTTAGATGACGTGGGCTTGGGGAGTAGGGTTGTGTGGTGAAGTTAACCCTGCAGTTCTGGGCTCTCCTGGATATATGGGATCTTGGGTGAATAGTTTGACTTGAGCCATAGTTTGATGAGTGAGTTTGAGCTCCTCTGCAGCCTGCTGGTAGGAGACACTGTGCCAAGGGCAAGGGTGGATGGGCTGGCACCAAAGGGATATGGTAGAGCTGGAAGAAGGATTAGGATGGTCTGGGATCTGGAACATCTGAAACTGCAGCTGGAAATCACAAACCCACCTACCAAGTGCCCAACAAATGCAAACAGAAGTGAGGCTGGGAACCCTGGCCAAACTATGCAGACAAGATCTGGGCAGGGGTGGGATGTCTTGTTTTTGTATGAAGTTTCCTGGATGGAAATAACCACACCAGCTCTGGAGAGCTCATCTATGCTTGCTTGCCAAGAAGATATTTCCAGGATTTTGGGATGCTGCAGCTAGACAATTGGATATGCAAGGAGCCCGGAGAGGTGGCCAAGTCCACCAAGCCAGAATTTCCACATGGAAGAAAGCAAGCACGCTGGTGATATATGAATGGATGGGTGTGTGGGCAGGCCTGGACGCAGGAAGCAATTTGCTTAAAATTACAGATTATTTGGCCAGATTTCCAAGCTGCTATCCAAGCCGAGAGCCCTCCCTCCCTTCCTGCACAGGCGAGGCGAGGGTGGTTGGGTTTCAGTCCTGGCTTAACTGTACAAGGACCAGGTTGGTGCACGCAGGTTTGGTCGGCAGAGTGGGAGGAGGTGGCAGCATGTCCCCGTTGGCAGATGGCAGAGTGGCTGGGGAATGTCAGGGCCCTTCCAGTGCTGGATCAACATGACAGCAGGGGAAGCATGGTGCCAGCCAACACACGTCAGAGCAGCTCGCCTGGCAGAGGCGCGTCACACGTGAGGGTCTGGGCATCTCCATGCTGAAGAGAAGCTCCTGTAGAGGACACAGTGATGTTCCAAGAAGCAACTCCAGAAGGGCATGGACTGTACTCAAAGCAGGGATTATTTCTTCATTTTACAGAAGCCTTTTGCATTTGGCCTTGTGCAGTGTTTACTGTAGGAGCAGAGCGTGTCTCTGAAGGAGGTGTGGAGGCACAAAGACCAGAGTTGCTCAGAGTTGGAGGTGTTCACCAGTAACAAACAACAGGAATGCAGAGCAGTGCCCTAAACCATCCCTGGGTGGGTAACAGTAGCCAGGGCACATGGGGCAGTGGAAGCACCACATCCCACTGCCTGTGGGCTGTGGATGCCAAAGCTGCCAGTATTACCATTACTGCTGAAGGGAGGGGTGAGGAGACTGTTGCCAGCTGCCACGGGAAGCCCTGGCACAGACCACAATCCTCCACCACTTAGAAGCAAAAAAAGGGCCTCTTGGAAATTATTTTGGGCACGTGTTTAATAATTAATCATCGATTTTAGCAAAGACTGCATCACAGACTTGCGTGGGATTGGAAGAAGATCAGCTTTAAAGAAGATTGTGGATTTATGGGGAAAATGTAAAGGATTTTGCAGGATTTCAGAGTTATAAAAAAAAAAAAAAGGAAATGAAAATAAAAACGGGATGGTTTGCTTGTGCATGTGCTGCCAACTGAACCTCTATTGCCCCGTCTGCTGGGGAGCCAGAGGAAGGACCTGCTGGATGGAGAGCTCAGCAGCGTGGGAGTATTTGCCCTGGCGCATTAGTACTTACGATTAAAGCCTAATTACAAAAAATAGACGAAAAACCAGCTGAAGTGCAGCCTGACCTTAATCTGCCTGGAGACGGGTTTATTTATCTCGGCCACTTGTTTACAGTGGGGAATTTCAGCAGATTAAGCCGGGGAGCGACCCTGTGGGAAACGGGAGAATTTCTTTGATGGCTGGGAAACTTGGGCGCGGGATCGGAGCGCCTGTCTGCTCTGGGGCCTGCAGCCAGGACCACTGGGCTGGGAAGGCTCTGACCCCCCCTGTCCCTGCGCCCAGCCCCGTCATCAAAAAGCATTTTTGTTTAGAGGCTTAGCTTAATCGTGATCTGCCGCTTTGTTCCCCACTTAACCTCCTGCTATCAGAAAGTTCAGATGAAGGTTTCTGCAGCATGTGAAGAGACATGGAGTCTGACCTGGTGTGGCATTTCGGCTCAGGACAGGAGTCACTTGTGCTGTCAGCTGATGTCACTTGACCACAGGGCTCAGAAAACCACTCTGTTATATCTCCCAGATAATTATCATGACGGAGACAGATGCAAATCTCACTTCCCTTCTAGTTCCCACCTCCCCACCACATCGGTCTTTCTGCAGGAGAGCCCAGGGGCATAATGTTTTGGCATGCAAAGGATGCCTCAGAGGGCTCTCAAAAATAGGCAGCAAAGTCATGAGGCTTCCGAGGAACGCATATTAGCAGAGCTGTGGGAGCCAAAAATCCAGCGGGTGCATCCCATTCCTGGGGGCGGTGAAGCTGGAGCACCAAGCCTTGTTACTGCCTGTCAGCCAAGATCTGTGCACCCTCAGAGGCGTGAGTTGGAACTGCCCGAGGCTGCTTTTGACACAAGCACCCCCAGAGTGGGCGAAGAGCAGTGACAACAGGCGGGAGCACTGGTGGGAAGGGAATGCCCGACCCCCAGAGTTGAGTGCAGGTTTTATCTCATGGCCACCCGAGGAGGTGGGAAGTTCTATCCCCTTCCTTAAGGAAGATTAATTTTCTGGAGCTGAGACCTGATTTTTATGAAGACGCCATGTCTGAGTATCCCCCATGGAGCGTGCAGGAGCCTGTGAGTGAGTGACATAGATCTACTCTGGTAAGGATGGGCCCCCAGGGAGGTACCTCTTTTACACATTAATTAATTGCTGATGTTGCAGCTCAAAAATCTTAATCCCCCCGTTCATCAGAAAAAAGTGAGGTGTTGGTGGGCTTTCCTGGGGGCAGAGATTGAGCTGAACTGGGCAAGGGCTGCTTTGGACATTTGCTGGTGCTCGTGCCTGAAATTGCTTTTCCCGTGCCCATTCCTGGATGTGATGCTGCTGCCACCATCTGCGTTGTGACGCGGTGACGTCTGTCCTGCCCAGCCAGGCAGCTCCAAGGAGCCAGACAGGCACAGCCTCCATGCCTTACTAATGATTTGAACCAGACATGTCCGCAAGTTCCAGCTGGCAAAGGATTGGTTAGGGGCCATGCACCCCAGAAGCACCACCAAAGCTCAGCTGTAATGCAGAGGAGCAGAGATGCACCAGAGTGGAGCCAGGGCCAGGACATCGCTGCTCAGCCTGGGTTTGCCTCATGTTGTCTGGCAGAGCGACTGGCTGCTCTGGCTCCTGTTGGATCTGCAGCCTTGCTTGGGACTGTTTGGCTCAATGGCAGGGCTGGGGAGCTGCTACTCAAAACACAGCCAGCGAGGGAGGTGGATGGGGCTTGTGGAGGAATCTCCTTATTGTGCAGTGGAGGCATGTTGGGTGATGTTGCTGTGCTGCTGGCTGTCACTTTGGGGTGGGAACTTTGGCTCTGGGAGCGATGGAGAGGCGGGGGACAGCAGGGAGAAGGAAGGTGCTCCAGGGCTCTGCTGAGCCCATGGAGGAGAGGCAGGGAGGGTGTTTCTGCAGGAAGCTGAGCTGTTCCACGTGTGTGACAGGATTTGACATGGACAGAGAGAGAAGCAGCAGGAGCTGCTCAGCCTGAGGGGATCCCTGGGGATACCTCATATTGCAGCTGTGCCAGCCTACAGCCATCCCACCCCACAGGGAAGCACAAGGGAGGGGACATGCTACATCCTGGCAGCTATGCAGGGAAATTTGGGTAGAAATGGAGTTAGCTAAAGAAAAATCAACGGGTTTACACTTACTCAGGTTGCTGTAGCCCTTATAGGGGCAGTGAGTGACTCGGAATAGTCTGCAAGGCTCAGTTAGCAGCACCAGCATCAGCCCTGTTTTATGAAAGGATGAGCTGGATCTTAATGATGACAGATGTCCTTGGTTCTGGTTTTGTCTCTCACACAGCAGACAGCATCACCAGCATCATGTGAGGTCCCATGGTTGACCCAGAGGGTGTCAGTGTGGGTGTCCTGCTGGTGAGCAGCTTGGCTTATGAGATCCGAAGGGCTCGCATCAGGGAGGGCTCTGCAAGACATCAGGCCAAGCTCCAGGTTCCTCTGCTGGTTCCTCTGCAGGCTTGGGGCTAGTAGGGATTGAAAAAGAAAAAAAAAAAGAAAGAAAATACACCAAATCTCCTTTTTAAATAGTTGAATGCAAATGGCCTGAAGAACAATAGCAGATGAAATAGCATTCAGAGCGGGTTTTAAAGCGCTTGGAACGTGGGTAGGATCAAAATCAGGTTAGTCTTTGGAGATGCAGACTCTGCAGCTTGCCAGGGTGTTTTTAAGCATGCTTTGATGTGTAGTTCAAACACTAGATTTGTCCTGGCAGACAGAAGCACTCACAAATTCATACACAGCCGCTCTCTCCTTCCCCCCTCCCCACTGTCCCCCATCTCATGAGATTATAATTTAGCTTCATTACGAAGGAGTTTTACTTTGTCCTGGTTTCAGCTGGGATAGAGTTAATTTCCTCCTTATTTAGAAGCTGTATAAATCCCCCTCCTGGGTCTCTGCATTATGCTGAAATGAGTTTACAAACCTCGATGGAACCTCGCAGGCTCTCGGGGTGGCCGGAGAGCTTTGCCCCGCACGCATGGCGGTGGCACCTCCGTGATTTCTTGGCTTTGTTTAGGGGCCCTGTGGGTGTGTGTGGTGTTAAACCCACACTGCAAGCTGGAAGAGAAATCCTGCTGGCTCCGGCAGCTGCGCAAGTGGGGTGAGATGGACGTCTGTCCCCTGGAAGATGGCAATTATGGTAACGAGCTTCCCAACATCACTAACGCGCTTACACAGAGCTCCGGTCACAGCCAAGGTGAGTCTGGGCAGGGAGTGGAAATCCAGCTGACAGCCACAGGGGTTGGGTCCAGGTCAGAACTCACCCCAAAGCTGAGAGAACTTGCTTCAGCTGCTGGTTATGTTTCTGCAAGTCATAGGAGTACAAAATATTTGTCTTCACAGCCTCTGGTTTATATATAAATGTTTGCTTCTTTGCTACAGGGTAAAGTTGCCCATGTTTTGAGTTTAGGGACTGTTCTAAAGCAGTTTGATTTTGGGGGAATTTAGTGCGGGTTTGGGCATGGGGTAATACAGGAAAACAGTGCTGCTTGCCACAGAGCAGAGCTGAGCTCAGGAGTCCTGGCTGTAATGTGAGAGTGAGGAGCTGGAGATGGTGCAGAGCCCATTTCCCTGCCCTTAAGCCTCACTTAAAGGCTGTGATTCAGGTGGTAGGGAAGTCATTAGCCAGGAATGTTAACGCAGTTCAAGTGCAGAGCACAGACAGAGCGATGTAGTTAAGGGGTTGTTCCTTAATGCTAAAATAGTTTCTCAACCGCTGACAAAGCATTTGATCCCTTTAAGTTTAAGCACTCTTTCTCCTTCCTTTTGCCTGAAGTAGACTTTAATTGAAAGTTATTGCTCTTCACATGCCTCTGTCTGCTGCACTGGATTGCTCTCCGGTGTATTGTGTGTGGCCAAAGTGGAAGGAGGAGAGGGGGACAGCAGCCATGCCACAGGGGAAACTTCATTATTCAGGGTGGGGTTGGTCCTGCAGCAGCAGTTTGGGAGCGTGGCTGTCCTGCCAACCAGCAGGGACCACATACCCAGCCTCCCTATGCTCTTCCTCAGGGAGCAGCTTAATTTAAACTTGGCCTTGCTCCATGTCCTGCATCAGTCCCAGGACTACCCCCCGATGTTCCCAGCTCTCCCAAGGATTTGCTCTGGCATTTGGGGAAGGTTGCTAGGGCTGAACAGGTCATTTGTTTTAGACCTTCAGGGAGTTCCCAAAGCACATGCCAGGGATGTCTCCTTCTCTTGTCCCTGTGCTCCTGCCTCTCCAAGAAGGGGACTGAAAGCAGCCCAGATCCTGGAGGTGTCCTGGGGTTCATGTTTGTGCATATGCAAATACTGCTCCAGATTGTTGACAGCCTCTTTTATTACTGAAGAACAGCTGATTCTTGAAATCCTTCCTGGTAAAGTGAGCAGCCTTGGTTCTCAACATACAAACACCTGTTTAATTTCTCTCCACCTCAGGGTGCCTGCAGCATTCCGGCTAATTGCTTGTTGCCATCGTTTCCGGAGCATGTTTACCCAGCCTCCCTGGATCAGCTTTGAACCGTGCCTTTTGTTTTCCACCCTTGAATGCCTTTAGCTCAGCCCCTCTTGTGGGTTGCAGGACCTAACATGGAACGTTGCACCCCCTTTGGGGCTTCCCGTTTTGCAGCCTGCCAACTGTGTTTGGCCTTCATGATCCAGTGTGGCTGGAATGATAGTGGGATTGCTCCAGACAGGTTTTTTCCTCTTATCAAACCATTTGTCTTGATTGGTCTGGATGGGGTGAAATGCTAATCCAGCATTTGGTAGTTTCAGAAATGCCCGTGAAGTTACAGAGCAGCTCTGAAGAGGAGCAGATGTCCGGTGCAGGGCAGCAGTGGGGTTTCAGATGATGCTGTCTCCTCCCTTCCAGCCCTCTCACAGGGCCCACAGAGGCTGCTGGGGGTGGTGGGTTCCCCCAGTCACTGGGAGGCAGCTGAGACACCCTCATGTGGTTCCCTTCGTGGCTTCATGTGCTGCTAATCTAAGAAGCTGCAGTTCAGTGCAGCTGAGACTGTGTTGGAGCAGAGGAGGAGAGCTCATGGTGCTTGCAGGGCAGTTATGCTGAGGAAGCCCAGTCCTGACCCAGGGGCAGCTGCCTGCATGCTCAGTGTCACAGGGGAGGGAGCACACTGCCAGGTTTCAAGGCATCAGCCTGGTGTGTGACAGTGGATTGTGGTCACAGAGCAAATGGGTGGGTGGTGCCTGCCTCTTTTCTCACCTCTCTGACCAAGTCAGCTATTCTAGCAAATGACTTAGCAGTGCTGCCTGAGGAGACATAAGTCAGCAGAGGTATCCAAAGCCAGAGCCCATGTCCCTCCCAGAAACTACTGGGGTGAGACCAGGTTTTGCTGTCATTGTAAAGGCAGAGCTGTGCCCAGGGAGGTCGTGTCTGGGAGAAGGAGCAGGCTGCCCCTGCCCCAGCAGGGCACTGATGTTTTTCCCTTTGCAGACTCCCTGGCCAGGCCCAGACGGACGGTGTTCACGCGGGCCATCGAGGGCTGTGACCTGCACTGGCAGGACAGCCACCTGCAGCGCATCATCAGCAGCGACTTCTACGTGTCCCCCTCCTACCAGCGGGAGGGGGAGAGCCTCCTCTTCAACTCCCAGGGACAGCCCCTGTGGCTGGGTGAGCATCCAAAGCAGCAGCCCCTCTCATGGCCTGTGTGGGTTGGGTTTCTAGTGGACAGGAGTCACCTGAGGCTGCCCTGGGTCCTTGCAATTCCTGCATCTTAGACTGAAATTGCTGCCCTGGCCCTTAGCCTGAGGAGTGGGGGGAGCAGAAGAATTCAGCGCCCACCCACGCCCCAGCCACAATCCTTAGAGCAATCTCCACATATTTACAGTCTGGCCTTCTCTCGAGCAGTTTGGACCAAGCTCATCATGTCCCTTTTCATCCTGCCAGTGTTTAGCTGTCCCCAGAGCAACCTCTCACTGTTTCCAGTACAGAGGGTCTGGACACTTAAAGTCTCTTGAAAATTGACTGCAAAGCACAGCTGTATCCTCCGTATTTTCTGTTTCCTCCTCTCCCCTTCTTGTTAGTCTTCTCTTAAAGGCAATTAGCAGTCAGTACAATTAAGCCTCGTGGGAACTTAAGGTGTACTGGGCCAGGCAAGCCCCAGAGGCCTCCTGTGTTGCAGACTTTTTGCCCAAGTACCTCAGGCCACACAAATTCTCTCCTGCAAAGCTGTGACCCCAGGGAGATCTGTGGACCTTCTACAGTTCCTTGTCTGGGATGAGAATGAGTGACATGAAGAGCTTGGGGGGGAACCTGGTGTGGCTGTCTGCCCTAAGACAGACCCCAAAATGGGAGATACAAGTCCCCACCCACCTCCAGGAAAGGGGATTACTCATCCCCTGCAGTCCAGGAGTTGAGTATATGAACAGGTCAGAGCCCACCATTGCACTGTTGTCCATTCCAGAAGGTGGGGTCTGCCACAAGGAAAGAGAATATTTAAAGTTGTCTAGAGATGTCGTTTCTGGAGTAGCAGGCACTAAGTTGCTGTTAATGCCAGGAGATAGGAAGGGCTCAAATCTAGGCTGTTGGTACACCTTAGCTGGAGCAGGAGAGGATATTTCTGCTCTGGGAAGAGTTCTGGGCAGCTGCAGGCAGGAGGTCCCCATCCCACACAGCCACAGGCAGCAGTGCTGGGTTAGTGCATCCATGGACTCCATCTAGAAGGGATGTGGTGGCCACAGCTCCCCTCTCCTGAGCCTGATCTGGGTTCTGGTGAGCCCTTTTCCTCAGCTGGTTGGTGCATGCCATTTTTCTGATGCATTTGCCTTGATTTTTGGATTTTGCGCTTTTGCTTTCTTGGCACCTCTTCAGGGACTCAGTGCTGGGAGAGGAGGGTGATTTGTCAGCAACTTCCAGTGATGAATTCAGTGAGAAGATGAATATTTCATCCATTTAGCAAATGAATAGAGGGAGCAACAAGAAGCTCTTTTACAGATGTGTTTGTTCTGAAATCTCTTCCTCATGTATTCCTTGTGGGTGACCTTTGGGATATGGATACCCCATTTGTGGAGGTGGTTGTCTGCATTTCCAGAGCTTTCTGAAGTCTTCCAGGAATAGAAATTATCCCTCTACGATAACTTCAGATCATCTGTGTTTGCCTGGGTTTTTTTCTCCCCTTGGTAGGACATTTTGAAAGAAAATGGGATTTTTGCTGCTTGTTATGCAGCATGTCATGTCATCTGCTCCTGCTAATTTCTCACTCAGTCATAATCCTCTCCACAGTTGCTTGTGATTTCAGGTGAGCAATAAGCAGCGGGAGCAGATGAATTCCTAAGCAACTGTGAGTCTTGGGAGGGGGTTTAGTGCAACTGTTCCTAATAATAAAACACCAGGTAGGAGAACTGCAGAAGAGACAGGATGTCTGCAGAGCTCACTCCATGGAGGTGTTAAGGAGTCACTTCAAAGCATCACCCCAAGTCTGCCAGTGCCCCCAGCACAGTGCTGGATGCCCAGCCTCACCCTGTGCCCTGAGAGCAGTGAGAGAAATCGAGATAAGCCATGCAGGTTTTAGGAGAAATGAGTGGCAGGGCTGTAACAGGCAGCGTTGGAGCTGTGGTACTGCAGCAATGGCGTGTTGGAAATGCTGCCATTAGATAAGCTTTGTGGAGGTGGGGATTTAGGTACTGACGTGGCTGCTGTGGGTTGAAAGTGGCAGGAGTCCCGTTAGTATTCCTGGTAGGCATCTGTTCCAGGAGCAGGGAGAAAGGGGTGAATTCAAGACAGGAAGCAGGAGTTTAGCTCAGGTGTGGGGAGCATGAGTAGAAGGTGGCCCATGTCAATGCCTGTGGTTCAGCCGTGCCCCTGTTCCTGGGGAACATGAGTAGAAGGTGGCCCATGGGTGCCATCCTGTCAATGCCTGTGCTCCTGTGGTTCAGCCATGCCCTGTTCCTGGGGAACATGAGTAGAAGGTGGCCCATGAGTGCCGTCCTGTCAATGCCTGTGGTTCAGGCGTGCCCTGTTCCTGGGGAACATGAGTAGAAGGTGGCCCATGAGTGCCATCCTGTCAATGCCTGTGGTTCAGCCATGCCCTGTTCCTTGCCTTGCAGAGCACGTCCCCACAGCCTGCGCTCGGGTGGATGCGCTGCGCTCCCACGGCTACCCCAGAGAGGCTCTCCGACTCACTGTTGCCATCATCAACACCCTGCGACTGCAGCAGCAAAGGCAGCTGGAAATATACAAGCATCAGAAAAAAGGTATGAGTAGAGCTATGGGACAAGTGTCTTGTGACATTTAACTGGGGTATCTCTGTTGGAAATACCTTTTCCACTTTGACGAGGCAAACATCCAGCCTGGATGGGCAACGATGTTCTGAGGGAACTTAGGAATAAAACGAGGATGTATCATCATTGGAAGGAGGGTCAGGTGTCTCACAGAGTATTTAAGGGGGTTGCTAGGGTATGTTGGAAAAAAACTTGACATGTCAAAGCTCAGTTCGAACTTAATTTGGCAACTTTTGTAAAGAATAATTAAAAATGTTTTTACAAATACACTGACACCAAAAAGAAGGGTAAGACCAACCTTTGTTCTCTACTGGATGCGGGAGGGAACTCAGTAACTGCAGATGAGGAGAAGGTGGAAATGACCTCAGTACCAGGTAAGGTGATGGAACAGTTTGTACTGAGTGTCATCACACAGCACTTACAGGATGGCCAGGGTATCAGAGCCACCCAGCAGAGGTTTAGGAGGGGTAGGTCCGTGTTTGACCAACCTGGTCTCCTTTCATGACCAGGTGACCCACCTGGTGGATGTTCTGTACCTGTACTTCAGCAAGGCCTTTGGCACTGTTTCCCACAGCACTCTCCTGGAAAAGCTGCAGCCCACAGCTGGGACAGGAGCACTCTGTGCTGGGTTAGGACCTGGCTGAATGGCCCAGAGAGTGGTGGTGAGGGTGCTGCATCCAGCTGGCAGCCAGGCACCAGTGGTGTCCCTTAGGCATTTGTGCTGGGGTCAGTTATGTTCAGTATTTTTATTGATGACATGGATGAGGGGATTGAGTCTTTCATTAGTAAATTTGCAGATGACACTAAGCTGGGAGTGTGTGTCAATGTGTTGGAAGGTAGGAGGGCTCTGCAGAGAGACCTGGAACGGTTTGATGGATGGGCAGAGCCCAATAAGATGAAGTTTAACAAGTCCGAGTGCCAAGTGCTGCATTTTGGACACAATAACTCCCCGCAACACTATAGGCTGGGGATGGTGTGGCTGGACAGTGCCCAGGCAGAAAGGGACCTGGGAGTGCTGGTCAGCAGCCAACTGAACATGAGCCAGCAGTGTGTCCTGGTGGCCAGGAAGGGCAATGGCTCCTGGCCTGGATCAGGAATGGTGTGGCCAGCAGGAGCGGGAGATCATTCTTCCCCTGTACTTGGCACTGGTAAGGCCACACCTGGATTGCTGTGTCCAGTTCTGGCCCTTCAGTTTGGGAAGGACATTGGGACCCTTAAGCGCATCCAGAGGAGGCAACGAGGCTGGAGGGGGGCTGGGAACACAAACCCTGTGAGGAACAATTGAGGGATCTGGGGGTGTTTAGCCTGGAGAAAAGGAGACTCAGGGCTGACCTTACCACTCTCTGCAACTCCCTGAAAGGTGGCTGTGCTCAGGTGGGGTCAGTCTCTTTCTCCAGGCAGCACTGACAGAACCAGAGGTCACAGTCTCAAGCTGCGTCAAGGGAAATACAGGTTGGGTATTAGGAATAAGTTTTTTATGAAAGGGTGATAAAGTTCTGGAATGGGCTGCCCAGGGAAGTGATAGAGTCACCATCCCTGGATGTGTTTAGGAGAAGACTGGATGTGGCCCTCAGTGCCATGGGTTAGTTGAGGTGTTAGGGCATGGGTTAGACACAGTGATCTTGAAGGTCTCTTCCAGCCTAGTGATTGTGTGACAGAATTGTGCTGCCCCATTCAGAGTGGCAGAGATGGGCAGTACTGCAAGGAACTGCTTATGTCCTAGGAAGACAAACTGAGTTGCTTGAGCCAAGCTGAGTTGATACCCACATACTAAGGACAGAGCTGCCCACATGCTGTCTTCAGGCTGCTGCAGTGGGGATGTTCTTGTTCCCACTGTTTCTGTGTCTGGTTGCCTGTAAGGGTTGCCCAGGCAAGTGGTGCCTGCATTAAAGAGCAGCTGCCTGACTGCAGAGAGCAGTAACTGGCTGTGTGTGCTACTTCCACCTTGCATTTCCTGAGTCAGTGTACCAGGAGACAAGCCCAGTGTTCCTCCTTTTGCAGTTGCAGTTGGCAGGGAGCCGGGGTCAGTTACTGCAGTGCTGCTGAAGGTCAGTGACTCCTGGTCCTTGCCAGCTCAGCCAGCTTGAGATCACCAAAAGATGAAATTTTAAGAATCACTGGAAGTCTTTGTCATCTCAGGAGAGATTTCTGCTTGTGTTTCCAAAACATTCAGGCTACCATTGCAAATCAGTCCATGAGCTGCAGGTCTGGCATTATAGACCTTTTATTTGGGACTCTGCAGACCCTCATGTCTTCTTGGAACTGACAATGAGTTGCTGCATCTTATGTGGCCTCAGGGACACCTCTTTTGTGTCTGTGCCTGCTCCCTCAGTTGTCTGTGCAGAGTGGCTTCTCCTTGCCCTCATGAACTACCACACCAGAGTTGGCCCTAGAGGTTCCTGTTGGATACAAGTTGTGGGATAAAAGTCCTCTGGTCTCAGAAGCCTCTCTAGGTGCAGAACTTGCCTTTAAATTCCCTACTTTTACCATCATCGTGTTTTGTTTTATCCAGAACTGCTGCAGAGAGGAGCAACAACCATCACCAACCTGGAGGGCTGGGTAGGCCACCCTCTGAACCCCATCGGCTGCCTCTTTCTCACCCTGACCGAAGCTTGTAGATTAGAAGAGGAAAATTGCCTTGAAATTTCAGGTACCAAGTGTTCCTCCTGGATCCCTTCCTGCTGTCTGTGGCTGAGGTGGGTGCAGATCTGGAGCTCTGGACACCTGGACTCTGAGTGCCCCTCTCTGCCTTGGCAGGAGCACCAGGGCAGAGCTGTAGAGAAGGAAGGTAGTGAGTAGAGAAAAATAAGAGTTTGCAGCCAGAGCAGAGCAGGTCCAAGGGAAGGCTCTGGTGTCAGCTGTGCACCCTGTTGCACATGTCTTGGGTCTCCTGCCTCTCCTGGTGAGAGTAGGAAAGAGGGTGAAGCCCACATCTCCTTCAGGGAGCTTTCCTCTGTCGTTTCTGGGTAACCAAAAGTAGGCAGGAAGGGAAGTGTGGGTCTTGCTGAAGTGAGAGATTTTTCTCTGCAATGCTTCTGCTCTCTGGGACCACTCTTCTAACCCCACTGCATCTCCTCTCGCTCCTTTCAGACGCTGGGGACTCCAAACCACCAGTGTATCAACATGTGCCCGTTGTGACCGGCAGCCAGGACGGTGACGAGTCCTACCTGTCCCTGGCCTTAGAGGTGGCCCTGATGGGGATGGGTCAGCAGAGAGTGATGCCCGAAGGTCTCTATGCCCAGGACAAGGTGTGCCGCAATGAGGAGCAGATCATTGCCCGCCTGCAGGACCTGGAGCTGGACCCGGTGCTGGTGCAGACCCTGAGGAAGCAGTGCATCTTGCTGCTGGAAGGTGGGGCCTTGGCTCATCTAGCTGACTTTTGTGTCTTAGCCAAGTCTTGCTAACGTCTCTGAGGTGCCCTTTTCAAAATTTATGCACATCCTGCTTCTTCCTCTCTGGATGTGGTGCAGAGCCATTAGGATGGCTGCTCTGCCCCATCACCTGGAAAAGCAAGGGTTTGTTGGCATCCTTAGAATAAGACCAAGTCACAGGCAATATGGAGAAGGGTACTGAGCACATGGCTTCAGTTTCCTATTTTCTTTTAGAAAAGGAAAGAGCATCCCTGGATCCAACTTGAGTAACACGCCAGGGAGCTGAACAGCAGATCCTCAGAGCTTTGGGGTGGTGCAGACCCCAGCCACAGATCCTGCTGTGCTAATTATGGCTGATGGGCTCTGCTTCTGCCTAGGTGGTCCCTTCAGCAGCTTGGGAGAAGTCATCCACCGGGAGAGCGTCCCCATGCACACCTTTGCCAAATACCTGTTCTCTGCCCTGCTGCCCCACGATGCTGACCTGGCATACAAGCTGGCTTTGCGGGCCATGAGGTTGGTGCATGTTTAATTCTGTCTCTGCTCCCCTTTGTGCCTCTCTCCTGTGCTTGTGGGGAAGCTGGGATGCTTTGCAATTTTAGAGCAGGGATGGGAGTGGAGACAGGCTTGGAGCTTGCTGTCCATGGGATCTTTTGCAGTGTGTAGGACCACTGGGCACAGGAGCAGTGCAGAGAGGTTCCTGTTCTCCATTTGGGTGATTCCTGGTTTACAAACCCCATTTGTACAGATTTGTGTGGGTCCAATAAAGTCTGCTGGCCCAGCCAATCACTCCAGGCTGGACCTGCCTGCCCCTGTGACAGGGACATCCTCTGCCAGAGCACACACAGGACTGTCATCTGCCTTCTGTCTGCCAGGCCTCAGGCACCCTGCAGCCTTCCCTGCCTGCAACAAGGGCTGTTATCCTGGCACAGATGGGTGGATGGTTTGCTCCAGGGTGTCACAGAGCCAGGTGGAGAGCAGAGTTGCACTCTGTTCTCCATTAAAACCCACCTCTGTCTTGGGGACTGGGGAAACAGCTGATGCTGAGAGCTGCCCTATCTCCTTCCCCAGTCCATGACACACTTCAAACATCACCCTGTGTATTGTTTTGGCAGGGACTGGGTGGGTCTTGAAATAGCTGGAATTTCCTAAACAAGTCAATGCTTGGAGCACTGTCAACTCCAGAACATCCCAGTGCTCTCTCATTCTACCACTGTTATAAGTCCTGGCCCAGAGCATTGCCTTTTTTCAGCATTTCCTCAGTGAAATGGAATGGGCCATCTCTCTCCAGCACTGGGGGGAAGTTTGAAATCCCCCTATTCTGGAAAGAGCTGCTCAGGAGGACAACCAGCCCTAATAAGCAGTCAAAGGCCTCTGTGGTGTGTGGAAGCACCATGTCCTGGCAGACCTGAGACCTCTGGCTGTTGAACAGGACTGAGGGCCCCAGGGATGCCATCTGTTAATGCCCATCCCCTGCTCCCAGCTAGGACTCCCTATCTTGGGATATCTGTGTCCAGGGCTGGAAAAGTTGGGCTTCTGCTGCCCTGTGGTTATCTCAAGCCTGCAAGTGAGGATAGCAGACGCATTTGGATGCTCTTCATGTCCAGGCTGCAGTTTCCCTCCTGCATAACTAGCTGTCAAGTTAGCAACACCAGCACCAACTCAGGGGTTTAGGATTTGTCACCATGGCTGGTGACTTGAGAATCCTGCTCCCCTTCTTCAGGCTTGCTTCTCTCCCAGGATTTCCAGGCTTTTGGATGTGCCCACAAAAACAGGCAACCTAACCTGGCTGCAGAGGCCCTGGAGAAGTGTGCTGCTGCTTCTGATCATAACCAAGCATTTTAAGAAGAACCAGATGATACAGTCAGGAGTTCTGCCGGGTGCTTTGACATGAAAGGAGCAGGAGGGGAGGAGGGATTTTACTTTTTTTTCTTCCTTTTTATTTTTCTCTGAGGTCTGTGCTTTTCCTTACAAGTTTATAAATCACTCCATGGATCTTTCTCCCCCCTTTCAAGTCAGTCTCAGATTGATCCCCGTGCCCATGTGCTGAGCACGCAGCCCGGGGAGCCGCACACGTGCACGGCAGCAGGATGTGTTCAAAGGCATTGCTGCAGGCAGCTGCCTCCAGGCAGCCCCTGCCTCGCCTTGGCAGCACCTCAGGGACAGGAGGTGAGGCTGGGGCTGGGCTGGGCTCTCATGGTGCCTCCTCCTGCTTGCCCTTCAGGTTGCCTGTCCTGGAGACCACGGCCCCATCTGGCGATGTGACCCACCCTCACCACCTGGTGTCGGTGGTGCCCAGCAGGTACCCGCGCTGGTTCACCCTGGGGCACCTGGAGTCACAGCAGTGCGAGCTCGCCTCCACCATGCTCACGGCAGCCAAAGGTTGGTGGCAGGGAGTTTGGGACAGGGTTGGGGGGATGATGGTGCACAAGAGCATGGAAGAGTTTTTCCTGGAGAGAGGAGGGAGCTGTTGTTTCTGCTGGCACTGGCCCCAGTGGTGCCCCACTAGCAACCTGCTGTGGGCAGGGCACGGTGAGCTGGCCTTGAGAATCTGGGCTTTCTGGGATTCTTGTCCCAAAGGGCTTGTGGTCCAGCAGGGCAGGATGGGAATTTCCAGTGAGGTGCTGGCAGGCCTTGAAGCCATGGCACTGCAGGTCCTGGGTAGTGCCCCACGTGATGCAGGATCATGCCTGCTCTGCAGCACAGCCAGCTGCCAGGCAGCAGTCCCTGCCAGGCATGCCATGAGGTCATGCTGTGGTTTAGTTTGAAGCTGTTTATCCTTTCACCTCTGGTTTGTCTCTTCTACCCTGTGGTGAAGATCCTGCACGGGCAATGGGAGAGAGAAGAGCTCCCTGTGCACCAAACCAAAAGTGGCTTTTGCTGGACATGTAGTCAGCAGTGCTGGGTAGGACACTTTGGTCCCAGCTGCAAGGGGCTCATGAAACACCTCATTGGTCTCTTGGGCCTCTTCAGTTTCTGCCCAGGCACTGTTACGGAGGAGAGCACAGGCTTTTTATTAGACATCCTCCTGACCAGAAACAGACCCCATCAGGGTGGCAAGAGTCTTGTGTCCCATGAGGGTCAGTGAGCCAAGCAGTTACCACTGCCCTCTGATGTCCTGGTGCTGCTAGCCTGACAGGGAATGGTTTTCTTTCCCAGTGAGAGGGAAGGGAAATGAGCTGTCAGAAAGCTCCAACCTTGCTGCCTTGGCAGCCTCTTCTCTCCTTCCAGCCTCCTCCTCTAGGCTGCTTTACCAGGGTTGATGGTGTTCTGCCCGATTTGCAGTGCTCAGATGAAGAGCTGGTACTTGGCTTATCCTTCAGGTATTTTTCTCCCTTCCAGTGCCTAATGGGATGAGGTTTTTATGTTGGGGATGTAGGGCTGTTGGATTGCATTTGCTTTTCCGACTGTTCCCTTCCTCAGGTGTTCCCCTGCTGCAGCATGTCCCACTGTGATCCTGCAGCCTCTCTTGCCCATGCCCCTGTGAGCCATTTTAGGGAGGCTTGGATTTTGGTGGCAGTGCAAGCGGCTGTGGTGGGTGGCAGGTGATATCTTTAGCTATGAGTCACCCGAGATGTCTCCTTGTGTCCAGGTGCAGCACTGGGTTTTTCACACTGCTGTGCATGATTAGGTTGTCTTTGCATGAGGTTCATCTGCTCAGTCTATGAGTAGGAGTAGAAATGAAGCAGGAACCTAATGTGGCATGTTAGCACCTCTGGTGTGCACATATCCCAAAGGTCCCACTCCCGACTCTGCGTCCCACAGGCACTGATAGGAGGATAGGTGCAGATCATTATATTAATATGCCTTGATGTGTCCCTCTTCCAAGATCCTGCCCCATCTCCTGTTGCCATCATATATCCTAGCACCCACAACCTCCTGTAGCAGGAGTACTGAGCACTGTTGGGTATTGGGTCATGAACTCCCTTCTTTGGGGATAGCTCAGCCTGTCTCAGTTGTGAGTGCTGTGTGCCTGACCTGGGACATGGAGGACCAAGGTGCCGCAAGTCTGGGTAACACCAGCCCAGCCTTGCAGAGGGAACTCGCTGGGCAAGACAGTGTGTGTGCAGCAAACAGCTTTTCCTCTTCTTCCTAATGTTCCTGGATGAAGACTGATGTTTTTGCAGCCATTCAATGCTAGGCATCTCCCCAAACCCCTCCTTTTCTGGGAAGAAGCTGCTGTACAGCTGTCAAACTTGAAGCCAGGGTGGAACGTCCAGGTGCCTGGAGATGTCTGCTAAAGACAGGACGTGTCTGGGATCATTCAGGTTTGTTTGTCCTCTCTGTGAGAGGATGAACTTGAGTGAGGACGCTTGCTGTATCACTTCCTGGCGAGGGTGCTCCATTTTAGACTGTTGGACTGCAGGGCCTGATCCAGCATCACTGTGTGTCCCTCTGTGTGTGTGTCCAGAGGGGCTGGCTGTGGTGCAGGCAAGAGATGGGGCTCCAGGGCAAGTGGGGGGGTGCCTGAGCCATCTGACTGTTCTTGCTTGCTCCCAGGGGACATGCTGCGCCTACGCACGGTGCTGGAGGCCATCCAGAAAAACATCCACTCCTCCTCCTTGATCTTCAAGCTGGCTCAGGATGCATTCAAGATTGCTACGCCAGCTGACAGCAACTCTGACACAACCCTGCTCAATGTGGCGCTGGAACTGGGGCTCCAGGTACAGGATGATGCTGGGGATGCTGGTGGCCCTTCAGCCCCTCTTGCTGTGGCAGCCGTGCTGGTTATGGTCTTACACCAAGCAGGGTGTCCCTTGTGGATGGAGTAAATTGATTCCTGCATGGTCCTGAGCAGAGGACCTAGCCCTGGGAAACCCCTGTGCTCACTGTGGTTTGGGTGGAGGTGAGGCAGTGCCAGGTAGTTGGTAGCCAGTTGAACCAGAGGGATTTTGGGGAGCACTGCTCTGTTGGGTGGCCTCACTAGAGCTCTGCAGGGCAGCCAGTCACCCCAGGTTTGCCTCGCAGGTGATGCGCATGACGCTGTCCACGCTCAATTGGCGGCGGCGGGAGATGGTGAGGTGGCTGGTGACGTGCGCTACTGAAGTGGGTGAGTTCCATGTGCGCTGGGGGATCTGGCCTGCGTGCAGTGGGAGCAGGGCTGGGCATGGAGATCCTTGGGTCATGCCTAGCCCTGAGCATCTGAGTTCTCCTGAGTCTTTCATTTCTTCTTGGGTAGCTGAATTTGCCTCAGAGCACCAGTTGACAGGGCTGGGACTGCAGCAGTGGCCGGTTTTGAGACTTGGATGGGTGCCCTGTATCTGGCCCAGGCCAGCATGGCAGTCTGGGTGGGCTCTGCCTGTCCCCCTCTGCCCTGTCCCTCTTGGGGCAGAGGCAGCATTTTGCCCTGTCTCTGGATCTCAGAGGAGCCCCATGAACTCAGTCAGGTTCCAGGGATATGCTCTGACCCTGGTCTTTTCTTGCAGGAGTGAGGGCCCTGGTGAGCATCTTGCAGAGCTGGTACTCACTGTTCACTCCCACGGAAGCCACCAGCATTGTAGCGGCCACAGTGATGTCCCACAACACCATCCTGCGCCTGAGCCTGGACTACCCACAGCGGGAAGAGCTGGCCAGCTGTGCCCGCACCCTGGCCCTGCAGTGCGCCATGAAGGACCCCCAGAACTGCGCCCTGTCTGCCCTGACCCTCTGCGAGAAGGACCACATCGCCTTTGAGACCGCCTACCAGATCGTCATTGACGCCGCCTCCACCGGCATGACCTACACCCAGCTCTTCACCATTGCCCGCTACATGGAGCACCGGGGCTACCCACTGCGAGCCTTCAAACTGGCCTCCTTGGCCATGACACATCTCAACCTGGCCTACAACCAGGACACGCACCCAGCCATCAATGATGTGCTCTGGGCCTGCGCTTTGAGCCACTCTCTGGGCAAAAACGAGCTGGCAGCCATCATCCCGCTGGTGGTGAAGAGCGTGCACTGTGCCACGGTGCTCTCGGACATCCTTCGGCGCTGCACCATGACAGCGCCCGGGCTGGCCGGCATCCCTGGGCGCAGGAACTCGGGGAAGCTGATGTCCACTGACAAAGCCCCCCTGCGGCAGCTGCTGGACGCCACGATAAGCGCCTACATCAACACCACCCACTCCCGGCTCACCCACATCAGCCCACGGCACTATGGGGAGTTCATCGAGTTCCTCAGCAAGGCCAGGGAGACCTTCCTCCTGGCACAGGACGGGCACATACAGTTCGCCCAATTCATTGACAATCTTAAACAAATCTACAAAGGCAAGAAAAAACTGATGCTGCTGGTGCGAGAACGGTTTGGGTGAGCCCCGGCTCCTGCCATACTCACTGGCAGGGTCTGGCCGCAGCACGGGGACTAGGGAGAGAAGAAGGAAGGAAAGTGGAGATCAGCTTCCCCCCATCGGCAGAGGCTGCTCTGTTCTGGTCTTCTGTTTCTTTTTTTTTGTTTGTTTTCTTTCTTTTTTTTTTTTTCCTTTTAGTGTTACTCTTTCTTGGATTTAACCATTTTACACACTGAGAGGATCCAGAGATTCCTTGGGCACAAACCAAAAGGCAACCACGGGGAAAAAGGATGGTTTACTCAGCCCCCTGCCCTCCCTTGCCAATACCAAAAGCTAACCTGGAAATCTAATACCTCTTTCCTGAAGGATGTGGTCGCTAGAGGGATACGAAGGTTGCAAAGTGAAAAATCTTTAAAATTATGTGGGGAATTTAATGAAACAAAACAAAACAAAAAAAAAAGGAAAAAAAAGCAAGCAAAGAAACCTGCGACACTAGAACCTCATGCGTCACCAAAAGCAATGGCTTTGCAGAGCGCTTCTCCCGCCCGCCCGAGACATGCAAACTCCTCTATTTGTGAAGATACTTCAATAAAAACAAGTAAAAGTAACTGTTCTCAGGGATTGCTTACTAAAAGTAACACAAAAAAAAGCATTTATGATACTGTAAATACTATAGTATATGTGTCAATTATTAAATTGTAAAGTTATAATTATTTATAATTCTGTCTTTTATTTGGGGGATACTTGAAATTGTTGTGGGCTGGGGCGATTATTTTTATTATTGCTATTATTATTATTATTGTTATTATTATTAAAACTATTATTTAAAAAACCCACACAAAACCACAGACAAAAAGAGGAGGAGGCACGCGAACATTTCTCAGGTTCCCATGGCATCGTCAGCAGCAAGAAGGGTGTGGGGGGGAGGCGAACATCTACTCGACTCACAGCCCTGGGACAGACGGACGGACAGATGGACAGAAGAGCAGCAGCCCAGCAAAGGAAGGAACTCGGGGCGATGCTCACTCGGACACACGCAGATGCTGGCGATGGAGGACTTGGCCCATCGCAGGGCAGGTGCAGGGTGTGAGTGCCTGGGCGGGCACCGGGGCTGCGGCTCTGGGGGAGGGAGGGGCAGCTGCATCACCTTCCTGCACCGTTCCCAGCTCATTCCAGCTCCGTGGTGCAGCCAAGGCTCGGCCCTTCCCAGGTCACCCAGCGCTGGGGGCACACTCCAGCCCCGGGCCAGTGGCTCTTCAGTTTTGGTTCATTTCTTTGCCAGCAGGTTGGGAGGGCTGGGGGGAGCCAGGGCCGGTCTGGATGGTGACTTGTAGTTGGGGAACGCGCGTTAGTTATCTGCTGTCTGGTTTAATTTTTTGGCAAGTGACTTGTGTCCGCGCTCTGGCCAGGAACCCAATTGTACTCGGTCTGTGTCGCCACCGAAATAGCGGTCTTCAACCAGTCTGTTTCTCTCTTTTTTTCTTCCCTTTTTTTTTTTTTTTGCGTGCGTGCGTGTATGTGTGTGTGCGACCTCTTCATCTGATGTTTAATAATAAAAGGGATGAACGTTACCGCCTGTGTCTTTCCTGCCTTTCTCTGAAGTTGGGGGGATCACCACACTTGTGCAGTGTTGCAGCCCCCTGTGGTAGCCAGCTCTTGAAGAGGGGGACAGAGCAGGGACAGGGCATCCTGGATGCTTCTGGGTGCAACTCCCTGCCATGTACAATGTTAGTAGGTCCTTGCCCCTGCTGGAGACACTGCCCTATCCATGCCAGCTAGACCAGCGTTTCTCCGTGTCTTGATCCGTCCTGCCGCCAGCCTGGACCGCAGTGAGTGTGCTGCAGTGTGGAATGGGGTGGCAAGGAGTTCTAACTTGGGGTTCCTGGGCTGCTTTTTGCAGGGTTTGCTAAGCCCCAGGCAAGCTTGGCCCTGAGGATCAGGACATGGGGAGGTGTGCATGGGAGAACACTCTAGGATCAGGGGGATGGTCCTAAAGAGCCTTTGGGAGCTGGAGGAGGAGGGCCATGGTGCCTCTGTTGCCATCCCAGCCAGTGTGGTAGGGGGCTGGTGGTGCTGTGTCAAAGGTTCTCCTGCCATTTTGGCAGCTGTCTCTCCCAGGTGAGTCCTGCTGGCTCTCCCAGCCCCTTGAGACTAGCCTGGGTTGAGGACACATTGCCCATTTCAACCTGAGCAGGACTGTGGGACAGCTGATGCTGAGTCTCTGCCAGTGGTGGGCTGTGAGCCCCAAGCTCCCAGGCTGTGACCCTGCCAGGCTCAGGCACCCACCTTCCCTAGCAGAGCTGAGCAATCCATCCTCAGAAGATGGCTGTTGTGCCCTGGGCTCACATCCTCTGTTGCAAGTGTGGACACTGCAGCTTGGCAGGGAGAGGAATCCTCCACAATTTGCTGCCATCCGTTTCCCCATTTGGATCTGCAGGATGGGGCTCAGGGGCTCCCCCTCACCACACATGCTCCTCTAGCAGCCTGCTACGACTTCCCATCTCCTTCAGGGCCGTCCAGTTCCCCATCCCCCCAGCCAGAGCCACACGGCTGCTGCAGAGAAGGTCCTGGTTTAATGCTGCAGCCCAGCCTAGAGTGAGCCTGTGACAACATGGGTGACTGTGCCCAAACCAGAGTCCTGTCCCCAAGGCCCCAGGCTCAGCTGTGCTTGTTGATATGACGGGAGTGAGCATGCACAGCTTCCACAAAGGCACCCACATGTTCAGGGTTCATGTCAGGGTAGAGGCCGTGGCCCAGGTTGGCAATATAACGTTGGGTCCCAAAACTCTCCAGCATCTTCTTCACCAGCTCGCCAATCTTCTCCTGTAGGTATGGTAGGAAACCATGTGTCAGACCAATCCAGGTTTTTCACCCCCACCATCCCTCAGCTAGCCTGAGGGGATGCTGGGACACGAGCCAGTGCTGCAGGTGGCAATGCTGAGGTAGAAAGCCTTTAACACAGGCTAGAACTAGCCCTAGTCTGGGACTAGCCATGGCTCACCTTGGGTGCATAGAGAGCACATGGATCCAGGTTCCCTTGCAGGGTGACATCTTTTCCTATCTGTGCACTGCAGCAGGGAGGAAACAGGTGAGTTGCTGCATGTGGTAGAGACTGAGGGCAGCCAGGTGTGCCTGCAGCCCCCACTGAAGGACACCCAGGACCCCTCAGCACAGCCTTTAGAAGCTGCAGCATGGTGGCCCAACTATCCACACCTTTGGAGCAGCAATGTCCAGACCTGGGATGTCTCAGGGAAGAGGAGGAGGTCAGAGTACCTGGTCTGGGATCCTGCCCAGACACCTGAGCCCTCAGTCAGACTCTTACCGAGCTTCCTGGGGCCGGATGGTCCAGTCGAGACCAACGACCTCGTAACCGGCGTGGGCCAGGTCGCGCAGGGCGTAGTGTGCATCCTTGGCAAAGATGATCTGCAGAGGGAGAAGATGGGCACCCACTGCTGTGGCTCAGACCCCTCTCCACAGGCTGGACTGAGGGAAGCAGGCACCAGGGGATGCACCCCTCTCCAGCAGTGCCCAGATGTCAGGGTCAATCCAGGCAGTCCTGACTCACCATGGGCACCAGGGGCAGTGCCTCCTCCTTCAGCTTGCTCTTGACAGCCTGGGCAATGTCCCGGATGTAAGGCAGGGCAAAGTCCTGAAACAGCTCCGGGCCCAGGTGCCCTGCATGGGACTCAAACAGCTGGAGCGCCTGCCGGGGACACAGATTCCTTTAGGCTGGAAAAGACCTTTAGGATTATTGAGTCTAACAAGCAAGCACTGCCAAATCCAGCAGTAAAGCATGTCCCCAGGTGCCACATCTACTTGTCTATCAAATACTTCCAGGAATGGTGACTCAACCACTTTCCCATGGGATTGGGAGAGCAGCAACTCAGTCCCACCTCCTCCCTCCAGTTGCTGGATCCTCTCTTCTCCCTATCCCCTGCCTTCCTTCTTGGCCCTGTCCCCACTGCCCCAGGACTCACCTGCGCTCCAGCAGCCACCTGCCCCACCAGGTAGTCGATGATGACATCAGCCAGCAGGCGTAGCAGACGGTGGCTTGCCTCGGGGTGACGGTATAGCCAGCTCTTGGCCTTGGCCATTGTAGTGGAGCCACCACCTTCGATCATGTAGGACATGAGCGTCCACTGTGGGGAGGAGTGAAGTGAGGAGAGTGATGGAGATGAAAGAAGACACTAAGTCCCAGTCACAGTGCTGAAGGTGGGACCTGTGAGCACCCCAGAGCCTGGGACACAGCTGTTTTTGCACTGAATGCCCCGTTACACACCCATGTAGCACCCACAGCTGGGGGTGCCATAGCTGGTCTGACCCTGAGAGAGCAGAGGAGCCCATCAGGGAAACTCACAGAGAGGAGGCACGCTCCTTACCGGTGCCCCCGAGAAGCCGATGAGTGGCACCTTGCCCTCCAGGCTGTGCCGTGTCAGTGTGATGGCCTGGAAGACGTAGCCTAACTCTGCCGTGACATCCACCTTCTGTCGCAGTTTCAGCAGATCCTCCACCTCCTTCAGGGGCTCTGTGAACGTGGGTCCTTTGCCAGGGACCATGACAATCTCCATGCCCAGTGCCTGGGGACAGGGGAAAATGGAGAAGCAGAAATGGAGCAGCCCTGAATTCTGCCCTGTTATCACCTGCTGTTCCCTGTGGCATTGGCCATGACTCTTACCTGGGGCACCACCAAGATGTCAGAGAAGATGATGGCAGCATCCAGGGGGAATCGTCTTAGTGGCTGCACAGAGGAAGAGGAAACGTTAGTGAGGGGTTGCAGCTCCCTTCCCATGGAGGACATGGTCAAGCCCAGGAGGCAGTGGAGTCCCCAAGGGCTGCACAATTTACCGAGGCCAGAACCAAGGTTCCTCCCCATCCCCATCTGGGCAGACAGAGGGGACACACAGACTCCTGAGTGATACTTACCTGCAGCGTCAGCTCACAGCACAATTTGGGGCTCCGGCAAGTGGCAAAGAAATCCTGCGACGCCCGTGTCTCCCGAAACTCTACAAGGGACCACCACAAATGTTACCGGCTGTTTGCTGCGGCTCCCTCGGTACCCCCCGCATGCCTCCACCGCTCACCTGGCAGGTAGCGCCCTGCCTGCCGCATGCACCACACCGGGGTGTGCTCCGTCTGCTCCCCGCGCGCCGCGCGCAGGAACGTGTCGTTCTTCAGCTTCGGGAAGCCCTTGGGGCTGCGGAGCCAAGAGCAGGCACAGGGTGTCACCCACAAGGGGTCCGGGAGCCCTGCCAGTCCCCCACGACTGAGTGCCAGAGTAAGCGGCTCGTCCCCACTCCCTCACCGCAGAGGAGGCTTGCGCCCAGCTGTGACAAGTGCGATAACTCGTCCCCACCACAGCCCAGGACTTCTTCCTGCTGAGGACCGTGGGCCCCCCGGGAGAGAGGCGAGGCGCTGCCCAGGGCCCGCGAGATTAAGTTATCGGGGCCACCAGTTGCTCCCGCCTGGAGAGATTTGGGACGAGCGGGGCGGGCAGTCCTGCATTCCCCCCGGTCTGTGCCAGGCCACGCGTCCTCAGCCTCCCGGTCCCAAACCTCCCTGTCCCCAACCTCCCGTCCCCAGCCTCCCCGTCTCCAGCCTCCCCGTCCCCAAACTCCCGTCCCCAGCCTCCCGGTCCCAAACCTCCCCGTCCCCAAGCTCCCCGTGGGCTGTGCGGCTGCTGGAGTCCGGCCTGCGCCGGGGAGGGGGACCCCGGCAACCGCAGGAGCTATGGGAACAAAGTCCCCAAAACCTCCATTTGGGACCAGGGACTTAACTAGCACACCAGCGGCCCTGCTGATCCCTCCCAGTGCAGGATCACCTCCCTCCCTCCCTCCCTCCCTGCCCGGAGCCCCTCCAGTGACCCTGTAGCGGACTCTTGTGCCAGCACCATAATCCCAGAGCCACTCCAGCGCCTCGGCGGTGTCCGGAGAGCCACACCAGTGTCCCCAGTACCGGATCTCAGTGTGAAAGCACAATCCCCAGTGCTCCCCCAGTGCCAGATCGCCCTTCCCAGAGACACATCGGTATCCCCTGGCAAGTGCCGGAACACGGCCCCGTTACCACATTAGGAAGGGAGGCAGGCCTGCCCGGTCCCGGTTACTCACAGGAGCCGATCGCCACCCGCCATGCTCCTAAGCCGTTCCCTGGCCTCTCCGTTG